GGGGGGGGGGCAAGAAAAGAGGTGGTAGACGATTTTCGTTTCAACTTTCTAGCGTAAATTCGTGATATGTACGTACATATGTACAATATATTCGATGCTTGCCACACGAGACGCACGAGGTAGTGGTTTTTCGCTCGCAGGAAAAAGCTTCTTTTAATTAAAGCTTGCACCACGAATCCGTCATTGGCTGGGTCGTTTAATTTGGAGGAGGATTCTTTTAAATAAACTGCGTCATCCACGAAGCCTCGGAATCTAGGCGGATTATGGTCACTTCTATTTCATTCCGTTTGGTTCGCTGCAGCTCCTGAACGCGGATGAAACGCCTTCCGAATTATACGGAGAATCGACAGAAGGAAATTATGGATCCCTTTAACGAAGAAGAAGAAGGTTCTTGTATTATACCCTTTAGTCGGCTGGAATTTCGAGAATTTGCGGGAGTTTGAAAGTTTCAACGAGCGGACTCGCGCGAAGGTGGTTACCCGCAACTTCTTTCGCAATTAAATATTCAGTAGATGATATTATAATGTGTTTGATTATTTCATGACTTTCCTGTTTCTATAATATTAAACTTCGTGAACTGTAAACTCAGTTTTCACAGTTTAGAAATTAGCGGAGATAGAACAATTAAGAACTAGAGCGACGATATGGCAACAGTGGGAATGAAATGGTTAAGAACGACACCAGAAACCAGGTGGTTAGTCAAAACAGACGTCAATATTTTGCTCAAGTTACTACGTGTGTAATTTGTTATCAAATTAAATCGTCTCTTATATATCTACAATTCGACGAACAAATCATATCTTAAGCACTCTCTAAAACCTAACATTCGGAGAACATATTTCCAAGAAAATGTTACAGGTTCGGTCATACCAGGACCAAGCCAAAAGGAACTGCGTGGATGTTGCCGTAAACGGACCGGGATGTATCATTTCCCACTCGAGCCAGGACCATCGAGAGTTCGATGGGACCATTTTGTTCACGGGAATCTTTATTGAATTCGATATTCCTCGACGCAGTCGTTCGATATCCTTTTACGAGACATTCGGTCTTTCTGGAAATTACGTGGATTCCTGCGTCCCTCTCCCTTCGATGCGTATCTCGCCACGGAGAGAACGAGGATCTCGTCGAAACGCGAGATACATACCGTCGAGGTTTTTCCGTTCTCTCTCTCTCTCTCTCTCTCTCCCTTTGGGTGGTTCCAAGCGGCTCGAACGATATTGATATTCACGGTGCCCGGGTACCAAAAGGGCTCTCTCTCCTGGGCCGGAGAATTCCTCTTTATTCCCCCATCACCGTCTGTCCCCGGTCCCCCTGGCCCCGTCCAGGTATTTCCTTCGACGTCCGTGCTCGTTCCGGCCACAACCGCGGGGGATCGAACTTTCACTTTCGAACGCAATATACCGGCTGCTGGCACAAAGCGAGCCGGGACTACGGTGAATTGGATTAACGGACTTTATCATTGCTCGTTTTATAGGCTATCCTAGATGGAACGGTGTACACACGGAGCGGTCGAATGATTGCCGAGCGTAATTGTGGGACGTCGCGGCGTGGTCGGGGAGAGAAGAGAATTCGTTTTGGGAAGGCATGTTCGTTCGCAAATTAAACCAGAAATAATCGTAAGAACCATTCTTAACGAGGTTTAGCATAGTGATAGAGCTTGGAATTCTGAAGCCAATGATATTTGTTTTAGCCGAATATGGCCATTAGTTTATGAAATATTAAATGTTCAATGCCGAGGAGCCTTCGAACACTCATCGAGGTTATACTGTAACAGTATATGTACAACACATACCTGTAGCAGTCTCATAATTTTGAAATAATGATCCAAGGGTTTGACCGTTAAAGGGTTAGTATTTGTTAGACTGTATTTGTTTTAGACTTTCCGAAATTTCGTAATGGTTCGTAACATTTACTGTATATGTATGTATTCGGTAAGTGTTAGTATAGTAGATACTTGTGAGCTGAAGCGTAGTTGCAATTCCGGACTAGTAATCGAAAAAATCTCACGAACCGCTTATCTTGATCCTTCCTAGGTGGTATCCTTGTGAAAATGAAACCAATAAGATAGATACGTCTATTGTGCATCGAGCCCTAACCAATCTCTTTCTACCGCTGGAAAGTGAAGTTTGGAACCCATAGACACAGTTTCGAAGGCACAGAGAGAGAGAGAGCTTCGAGCGCAGAGACAGTCTCGAATTCAAAGTTTCGATAATCGCAGCAATGACAGAAAATTGCGTGGTAACGGAAAATTGATCAAGATCGACTTACTCAGCGTGGCGTTGTTGGCACGCGACTGGTCGGTCTGCGATCTGAGCAATCGCAACCGATTCAGCTTGCTCTGTTGTTGGTCCAGCCTGTGCCTCAATCTGGCGAGCTTGTCCTGCTGTGCTGGCTCCTGGAACAAGTAAACAAGAGAGGGGCTGTGTGAATAACGGGGCGAAACGCAACGACGACGGAATACCGTGGGGCTCTCGTGCAAAGTGAATACAAGTCTAACGAGGAGGAGGAGGAGGAGGATGATGAGAACGGGACAAAAAGGACCGTGGCTGTAGAATATTTCAAGCGGGAGCGTCCAACTAAAAGAGAGGCCGTTTGTCCCCGCACTATGACATTACGTTCGAAAACGAGGCTTTGGGCTCCTCCCGCCGTTACCCCTTTATCTTTTTAACAAAGCGACCCCCGCACGAAACGAGCCATCTCTTCCCCGTCTCAGAAACGAGCTTCTTGTTTCGGAAGTGGTTGCCGACGCACACCGTTAAACGACCGGCCATGACGGAGTAGAAAACAGGAAACAATCGCGTTACTTTTTCGAAACAGGATTCTGGATTATACATATATGTACAAGAATAGACTGCGCATCTCTCTGAAAACGGGCGTCTTAAGTTTAGAAAGAGTTAAAATCTAATAAGTGGTAGGGAGTGAGGTTCTGGAGTCTGGGTTTTGAGTAGTTGACTTAGCTATATTAGAAAGAGAAAGCAAGTTCTCCGAAAGCAACCTGTCTCTTTCTAAAGTTGGGAAGCCGACCCAGGCTGACGCGAAGTCTATACATTCTACATATATTATGTCTATGAAAAGGATTCGTTATGAATCGTGATAATAGCCGAGAATGCTCCCTAACCGTCGAGAGACTCTAGAGGACGGCTAACTTGCTCGATTAGTTCCTCGAAATCGGAGGGGGATGGGTGACAGCTTTCAGCTTCCGTGGAGGTAATGCGGTAATCCGGAACGTTCGAAATTACCCGACAGGCCTTTCAACGACGACAAAATAAGATCCTCCTGACGACTTCGTGGTGCACATTGTCGGCCCCCTGGGTAAAAAGTCCCCACGACTGCGTTCGGCTAAGCCGCTGGCAGCCGGAACGAAGAGCGGATGGTAAGATCAGCCGAGGATCCGAATGAAAGTTTCCATCTTGGCAGGCGCGGTAAAGTATCGAGTTCATCGGCGAGGATTACGGCATTCAGGGTCCTCTGGAAATCCTGCTCGAGTGTGCTTTGGTCATTGGATCCCCCTATTACTTTCGAGACATTCACGAAATGAAGACCTTCTTCGGTGGCCTGAATCATACACGCGTGTCTGAAGCCATGGATACGCGGTTCTTCTGGTCACTGGGTGATGGACCTATGGTCTCTTTTATCGGGGTGACCGATGATGGAAAAACGGGCGTCGAAATGGCCTGGTGCTTTGGAGTCGGAAGGAAAATCGTATCGTTGGAAGAGGTTTCGCGAAGTGGAATCGCGGTACGAGTTATGGGTTCACTTTATACCGTTGATGTTGAAGAACTATGTAGTTGGAGAATACAGAGGTCTTGCTGCTGGAGATCGGTGGCCAGAAATGGGAGCGAACGGGACATTGGAACGTTGCGCGGTAACTCTTGGAGGAGTTTCTCCAAACGTTCTGGCAATTGTGTTATAATTAATTAACAGGTCCTTTTACTAGAATGGCGACGGTTGCAAAAAACAAAAATGTACCAGAATGCTCCCTGAGCTTCCGTTCTGATTGCCATTTGTCGCGTCTTCGTCGATGAATGCGCACACTAACGAACCATAAAACGTACTTTCTTGACTGATGGACGAATACTTGGTCGTCGTTTGATCAGACATACGCATACAGTAAAATTGAATCTAACAAGCTTCTTCAAGACACTTCATTTGAATCCCATCATCCCCCGTTTTCTCTTCCCTGGACGGAACGATCCGTTAAACACACGGGGCTAATGCGATCAGCCTGTCTCGTATCAAGGAGCCAGGCAGATATATATGTATACATATGTGCAACCAGTCTCGTTTAATCTCGTTAATATCGTAGAAGAAGAGACACTTCGCTCGTTAATCCGCCGGTCCTCGACACATTCTGTCAAGAGCTAAGCGTACACGGGACAAGAAGCGGAGCTCTCACGTCATCTTCGGGAAGAATCTAGCCCGGTCGGCGCGTTACGCGCTCAACTAGGCTCGTAAAAGGGTGTAGGGAGTAAGAGAGAGAGAGAGAGAGAGAGAGAGAGAGAGAGAGAGTCGAGTGGACTGTACGATTAAAATCGCATTTAATCCGAACAGCCCCCTCTCGGCAATTCTCTAACGAATTCATCGAGGGCTTTTGCCGTAGGTCTCCCGCGATCATCGAGGAACAAAGGGAATAAATTAGAGGATCAGCATGATCCTTGAGAAGACACGACTTGATAGACATGATCGCGGTAAATGGAATTTAAAATGGTCGAGGGTGACGATCGTTCGCGAAAACACATTTTGAAGTAATCTATTTACAACTCATTAAAAGACGGCGATAGTTACGAAGCTCAAGACCCGGCCGGTTGTCAGTGGGATAAACAGATTTAGTTCAGCAGAGCAACGGTGCATCAGCAGTCGGCCACAAGGGGATTGTATTCGGAGCAACGAGTGTTCGGGTGTCGTGCTCATAATTCTCGATTAGAACTTAAATACGCGTCCCCTGCCCTAAATATTCATTGCCCGCTTGAGCTCCAGGCAGCGATTACGCTTCATTACGAGTCGCTATAAATTCCGCAAAAGCTGCGGGCGCTCGAGTAGGGGCTCTCGATTTTCGCGCTCGCGTCCTCCCGCGGTCACGTGGACACAAGAATCACACTAAATTGCCTCCGCACAGTACGGTATTTTTCCAATCCAGCTAAATTTAATTAAAAAAAAAAAGTTGATACATGTATGATACATGTACATATATTCCTGTATATACATATTCCTGTTTATATGAAATCTTAAGAACTCAAGAATCATTAATGTTCGGTGAACAACAATGCAGTATCGTTCCGGTGTGTATCTGTTATCCAACATGTTCTCGAACCTCCAAGGGTCACCTACAATTCTACCAAACCGTCCGAATCATTCCCCCGGAATGATATCATGTGCAATCAGCAGCCCATAACCGTTTCATCCCGCAGCGGTTCAAACCTTTACGGCCCTTCCGGTTCCCCTCATTACCAGTGTGCATCCCATTCGGTACGACACTTTAGCACCATTACGGGACGTTCTGGACGCGCGTTCATCGAAACGTACCGAATTCGAAGGAGATAACACAAGGGTCAAGGAGAGGAGGCGCGATTTCGAACGGGGAACGAGGAAAAGACGCGTCTGGAATCGCGACGGAAACGATGATAGTCACCGGGCCCGGATGGGCGGACGCATCAGGAACAAGACCAAACGATAGAGAGGGGATATTACGGGAGCTTTGTCGAGCAATTTCCAGAACGATTTCCGCGTTTCGAGCAAGGTCGAGAGAAAGATCGAAGGGGGGATTGTGTGGTTCTCCACCTCTCACCTGTGCGCCTCGAAGCACGGCCAGACGGGCTTCTCTCTGCTCCAGGAGGCGCCTCTGTTGGGCAATTTCCCGCTGTTGCCTGGCCGCCATGCTTTCAAGCTCGCTGAGCACCAGCACAGCACCACCCCCGCCCACTGGTAACTGAAACAGAATTAAGAGCACGTCAGTAATAGACCGGTTACCTGTACATATACATATATGTACACAGGGAATACTGCTGATTTAGAGACCATTTGGCCGCTCGAAGAAGCTTCGATTCTTATTAGGGGGGATCGATTTTTTCAATATCAATGAATTTTTTTCGACGCTACTCAACGTCACCTTATTATAGGACCTTGAATTCGTCCTTTTTATCAGTTACAACGAAGGACTGAAAAAAATTCATTGACTTTGAAAAAACTCTAGTTTGCCTTGATATCTCCGAAAGTATGAAATATAGAAGAGTTAAATTGAATCCGTCTGATAAGTTCCTTCAAATGTAATGTAATTCATTTAAAACGTTTGTTCGATGCAACCAATAATAAAGACATACACTGCGCACAATTAACCTGAATACCAGTCATTTATACCATTTTTAAGGATTATTTATAGCCTTTGTGACTCCAAGAGAAAGGTATTCAGCTGTTCGACTACTGGAATTATTTTCTTTCTCTATCATTTTTCGGTTCTATAGCTTTTCCCGGCCGTTCGGACGGGAGTTTCGAAGCGATCCTGTGTCGAAAGAATGGGGTATCCGGGGGCTAGCCGAAAGTTAAGGGATTTGTGGTCGATCGCGTGGTTGTCGGATAAGTTTACAAACGTTCCTCTGAAAGAAGCTTTCTCGATCTTTCATCGCTCCCGCGCACGGAGTATGTTAGATGAACTCTCTCTCTCTCTCTCTCTCTCTCTTTCCAGGTTTTATATGTATATCATTCAGCCAGACCCTGTTCAAAACGCGGCAACGGAATCGAAACCTCTCACGTTGGACTCATCTCGTCTCCAACGATATACAGGCCCCGAACGATAATCGCGATTACACAACGAAACAACGGCGTGTATATACGTAGATACCCTTACTGGTCGATGTCGCGGGAGGTAGACTGTTCGAAATGTCAGCCTGCCATTTCGCAACAAGAAGAGTCGGAAAGACAGCGTTGATGTTCGAAGCATTGTGGATTACGCGATTTTGCGATCTTCATCGCAGTTGAAATAAATGGAAAAACGGAAGGGGGGCCTATTATATGGTGGGGGAAGGAGGTATAACGCTGTAGAAAAAGGTAAACAGCAAGAGGAACAGAGGTAGGTCCCCGCTCGGCGCTCAGCGGTTCTTTTTGCTTGACCTCGTGCACCATCTGGAGAGGACCGGCCCCCGCCGATACCAAGTAGAATCCCAAGGCCGACCTGGCCCTTCGAATTCCACAGCGACAAGGACTCTCGGTGGTAAGCTTCGTATACACGTCAACGAAAACCCGCCTTGAGACGACAACGAGGAGTGCTACCGGCGAATCTCACCGCGCCGTGTCTTTCTCTTCGTTCGCGTTCCTTTGTCCCGGAAACTCTCATCTTCGAGCGGAATTTTCACGACCCAAGTGTTCTGAATTCAATGTATGTATGTACGTTCTTCCTGGATCACGTGGTCCAGTTTCATGTTCGAGGAGCAGATTTCATCCGTTGTTCGCTCCATTCATCATACCGGTAGTTCTCGAAGAAGTAACGAATATCATATTCACGAAGATCGATTCGATTGCGAAAACCGTGCATCGTAATCTTGTCTACGAGACTAACGGACGAGAGTAGGAAACGTATGATCGTAACGGTTCCAGGGATTAGCCGCGGCTGGTTTTCCTTTAATTGGTATCATCTGGAACATATCCGGCTACCCAACATGGTGCAACGAGCGGGACACCTCTTCTGTCTAGCGCGTTCTTTGTTTCCGAGGCAACACGACGAACGCGACCGGGGGTCTTCGAGCAAAAGGATCGAGGGGAGAGAGCACCGAAGTTTCATTGAGACCTATTAAACTTTTACTGCGACCGTTTCAACCGCTCCGTTTGCCCCCGCGAATGGGGTGGGGGTTGAGGGGCTGCAATTTCGTAATTAAACGCTCCCCGGTACCGGCGATCGGAGGAATTGGATTCAGCAATGCAGCCCCCGGACTCCATTAAAATTTCAATCTCTCCCACGCGTTCTTTCGAACAAATAGCGCGCTCCCGTTCGACGGCTAATAAAATGTGGTAGTGATAAAGACTGATTTATACTGTACATATATGTATACATATATGTATATATAAACCCTTATCCATCCCTCCCTCATGTGCTATCGAACGATTCCGCGCAGACAAAGACTGCACTTGCAGTGATCGCTACAAACACAGGATTCTTATGTTTGCAAATAGACTTATTTCCTTTTTTAAGAAATCAGGAGGGGCTATGATGCTTCAGTTAATAAATATTTATCCTCGTCCTTGGGCACCTTTTGCTACTTGTAACACGCTTTGACTATTACCTCACCAAAAAAGTGGGAGATACGCAGTACCTACATTGGAAGGAGATTCAAGTATTTAAGTACCATTACGAAATTTTGTTCGGAAGATTAATATCGCGGTACAATCTGAAACAAGACCAACAGCCTCTATCAACTATACACATAATATTTTTGACGATTTATGACTTAGAAAAAAGAATCGTAATAAAGTGTATCTGGTAACGTACGGCTTTTTTCACTGTGGCGGTCAACGTGTTAATTAAGATACTGGAACAATGGTTTCGTGTCTGTTGCGAATTAACACGAGTAGGCAACAAGACGAATCGAATGGATTGTGTGTGATTCGGACGCGATAAACATCCAAAGTGTAAATTTGTCTTCGTTCATTTGCTGCATCGATCATCCAACATATTCCGTCGTCTATCCTCGCCAGATTTCCGTAACACAGAATCAAAGTCGTATCACAGATCGAAAACATAAAACTCGAGTAACCCGTGTAAAAGGTTCCCCAAGGCGGGAGGCGATAAAATAAACCAGGGGTTGAATAAATAACCGAGAGCCGGGTGTGCAAGACCACGAGAGGAGAGGGTTTCATCGAGCCCACAAATTTCCTCGGCGTTTCAACGCGACCGACCAGCGCAGAAAACGCTGCACCGTGTGCTTCTCTTGCTGAACCTTCGTGCCTCGTAAATATACATACCTACGTACAGGGCATAGGGGATGCAAGCGTGCTGGTTCCGAAGGAAACGATCGGTGTAGAGGTAGAGACACATTCAATCTCGGCTACTCGACCGTGGACACTCTTCCACTCGCGTGAATTATGATTCGTGGAAGCGCAGGATGCGGCTCCTTTGGAGCTCTGATTGTTCCTTATCGGGGCTGGAGGTGTACAGGGACCCGTAAGAGTCGCTTTGCCGTTGGATAAACGTGAGAATCCAGCCGCGATTCTTCCAAGTCAGGGCCAATAGATCGAACACGTTTAACGCTTATCCTCTGCATTGCATTTTCTTTTCCTTCGTTTTGCAGTTCAAGCTGACTTTAACAATGAAAATTCACACAAGATTGTGCAAAGGATTTCTACAGTTCCTAGAAAAGGAAAAGAAACTAGGAAGTGAATCGACTTTGTTGCTCTTAAGAACCCCTATCCATCCCTCATTTTACCAACTTAATTTGTCCCTCGGTGTCAAATAAACACATCGGAAAAAAATGCATACACTGCTTGGCATGGCTATAAAACCATCCTAAAATTTTCAATTTTTATGCATTGTGGTTAAAATAAAAACGAACCAATTGTTTTTCCAAGGAATATAATCTGTCCGTTCATGGAAACACATTATATCTCAACACGATTTCAGACACGGCATACTTGGTTCGTTTCTATGTTAACTACAATACATGTATAAGAACTGAAAATTTTAGGGTAGTTTTACGGTTTTCACCCAGTGTACAATCAAGAGGTACATAGTTAAATTTGCAAATCCTTTGAAATAAGAGTCACGGAGTCACCGATACATTTATCTACATATGAGGAAATAATATCATTTCTTAGGAGAAAAATCTGTTAAATTCAAGCGAAGGGGCGGATGAGTGTTACATGTTTTTTTATTCTCACTGCTAGAATCCTATCCTTGGAAAAAGCCTCGAAATTTCCGCTTTGTCTCGACGATTCTATGTTAAATCCTTCAAACTCCACGATCCTCCTTTTTTCTTTCCCAGCGGCGATAATGAGAAAAAATGTTGCTCGCAGCGTAAGAAAGAACGGCAGAGTTCGCTGCCTACTGCGTTTCCACGCTTCGGACTTACATCAAATCTTCCTACCAACCTTGCGAAGGGAAAAGAAGGGACTTTCGTTGCAAAAAACTCGCGCACGCTTGGAATGAAAAATGTGTCTTACTCTTTTTTTTTCCCGTTCACGCATCGTTCGCCAGAAGATTCCGCGTGGCAACACGCGCTCCATTTCTTCCGGTTCTATGCGCCCATTTCTTCCGGTTCTATGCGCCCGTTTCTTCATCCTCCCTCTACCCAAGGAGATTTGCGCGTTAAATCTCTTCGAGCTCGTTACGCTTCGCGACGAATAATTTCTCGAACGGAAAGATCGTGTTTTTATACAGCAGAGAAGCCATTCCTCCGTGGTTTTTTTTCGAGTTTCGATGATCTCCTGATGTTGTTTCGTGAGATTGGGACGGGGGGGGGGGGGGGCAAGAGAAGCACATTTCCGTGGATGTCGCCGCTCCTGCAAAATTAGTCCAAGGTGTATTCTCCACTGGGTATATAGCCCCCGTTCGCTGACTGTCCGCTGTAACTGGAATATCGCCTGCATATACCGTATACCGGGTGAGTCAATATGAACTGCTTTTAAAATGACTCGTCACTTATTGGTTGAATCGAAAAACATTTTAATAAACGATGTAGCATTTTATGGAATGCTTATTGGTCGGAGACAATTTGATTCTTTTATATTTTATTTCATTTTGAGATATCAAGATGACCTTGAGTTTTTTCAATGTCAATGCATCCTTTCTTTAGTATCACGTCGTTGTCAATAGAAGGACGAATTCAACGACTTATAGCATGATGGTATAAGAAAAAGATGCATTGCATCCATTTCAAGCGTCTCTTAAAATGCTATATAATTTCTTAAAACGGTTCCTGATACAACTAATAGGTAATGAGTTAT